TGTTCATTTTTCTTTCCCATCTATTTTCTCTCTGTTGTTCAGATTTTGTAATTTTTATTCGTCTGTCTTCAAGTTCACTGATTCTCTTTTCTGTCACCTCTATTCTATTTCTGAGCTGGGCTGGCTAGTTAGCTCAGTTGGTTAGAGCACCATCTTGTAACACTAAGGTCAAGGGTTCAGATCCCCCATACTGGCCAGCTGCCAAAAACAAACAAACAAAAACACAAAAAATACAAATATTCTACTATTGAAACTACCCAGTGACTTAAAATTATAGTTATCATATTTTCCAGTATAATTCCATTTGGTTCTTTTTTTATATTGTCTATTTGCTGAGGTTATCATTTGTTTCATTAGTGTTCATAACTGCTTGCTGAAGCTATTTTATGATAGCTGCTTAAAAATCTTTGTTAGAGAATTCCAACTTCTGAGTCATTTCAGTGTTGGCATATGTCTTAGTCTGCTCAGGCTGTGTAACAAAATACCAAAGACTGGGTGGCTTAAACAACAGACATTTATTTTCCACAGTCTGGAGGCTGGGAAGTCCAAGACCAAGGTGTTGGTCAGTCTGGTTCCTGATGGTTCCAATCTGGTTCCTCTTCCTAGCTTGAAAATGGCCACCTTCTAGCTGACCTCACCTAAACCAAATTATCTCCCAAAGGTCCCCACTTCAAATAACATCATGTTTGGGGTTAGTACTTCAACAGATGAATTTGGGGGGGACACAAACATTCAATCTATAACAGCATCTGTTAATTATCTTTCCTAACTCAAGTTGTGATTTTCCTGGTTCTCAGTATGATGAATGATTTTCAGTTATATCCTGGACATTTTGGGTATGAAATTGTGGGACTCTGTATCCTATTTAATCTTCTTGTTCAGTAGGCAGTTATCCTGTCTAGGTTTAGTGTGCTGGTTCTGACTTGTGTGGTCTGTGGTTCCAATGACAATTTAATTTTCAAAGTTTTTTCAGTGTCATTATGGTATGCTTCATTTCTGTGCTACCTAGATGCCAATCTAAGAACATGGACAGTATTCCATATTGTAGTTCAGTTCTCAAACCTTCTGTTGTGTTCATTTTGGTCAGTTTTTTATGTGAGTCACTAGGGGGTATGTCCAGGACTTTATATGCAAAATCCCTTTCTCCAGCTCCCTTCTCACCAAAATCCTGCCCTCACTCTCTAGCTGGGAAGGGAAAGAGCATTGCCTGCCACCGCTGGATGCTGGACATTGGGAGTGGAAGTCTAGGCTCTTCCCTTGGCCTCTACTGACACCACCATGGTGGGGGAATTGAGGCATTGCCTCTTTGCTGTGTCTCAGGATAGAAGTTCATACAATTCACTTATTCCACTGACCCTACCCCAGAGGTAGAAGCAGAATGCTTCCTCACACTGTCTCATTGCCACCAGGTTGGGAGTAGAAATACCGACTTCCCATTTACCCCCACTGACACTACCTCATCAGGGAGAATGAAAAACCGTCTTGTGCTGCCAGGCAGAGGACAGACATCACATTCCCTGCTTGGTGATTCCACCCCAGCAAGATAAGCGACCTGCTACTTCCAGATTGGGGGGTAGGGAGTGGAAAATCAGTATCCACACTTGGTATCCACTGGTACCACTAGCAGGAGAAGTAGAGAGTAGCCACCAGGCAGAGGGTGGAAATTCAGACTCTCTGCTCAGCTCCCATTGATACCATCTTTGTGAAGGAAGCAGAGTACCACTTTATACCACCTTGTTGCCTTCAGGAGGAAGTGCAAGTTCAAGCTCCTCACTTGGCTTCTACTGACCCTGGTGGAGGAATCAGAGTACAGCCTGCTACTACCACCAAGCAGGAGGTGGAAGTCCAGACTCTCCACTCTGCTTCCACTGGCTCTAAGTGTGGGAGTGGGGTCTTTCCATGGTCTTTGGCTGGAGTATTGTCAAAAAAATTTTTGTCCTTCTACACTACCCTTTGCCTGGTCCTTTGTCTAGGAAGAGCAGGCTCTTCTTAGAGCTTTTAAAAATCTGTACCTGTTGGCTTTACCAGAATGTGGGCTTATCCAAGCGTTCAGTCTGGCATATATAGAGGGCAAAAAGAAAACCCAAGGAACTCACTGCCATGTCATTCCTCAAGTTCCAAGGTTTCTAGCCATTCTGCCACTTTCTTATCACCTTTTAGAGTTTTCCTATATCTGCTTTAGTATTATGTCCAGGGTTTTTTGTTACCCTTAGTAGAAGGAATAGGGAGAAGTAAGTCTATAATATCTTGCCCAGAATCAAAAGCTTAAGAAGGCCATATTTTAAAAATGGAACAATTTATACGATACAGGTAAACAATAGATGACATGAAGCATCAAGCTATTTGTAAGGTAACAGAGGGATAAATGGATGAGATTCCACAATAACAACCCAAATCTGTTAAGCAAGACAAAGCTTGTCCAAGAAGACAAGAACTCTGGGAAGGACTGATTCACTTAAACCTACTATGGTATCAATGAATTCAATGGAATTGATGTCCTTCTCCCCCAAAAAATCAATTCCAAAAAAAATACTTATTCAATTGAGAGGATATGGTTCAATGTCTGACAGTAAAAGCACCATCCTATACTTGCAAGACACCACATAGGCTGAATTTAAAGATGAATAAACAAAAAGTATGATGACATCTGTAGCCAGGAGCTTGAGACATGTAAGAAACTCCCCAACCTACTTCAAGTTAACTTATTTGCCAGTTGCAGAGTCAGCTCTGAGAGTGCACTGGCAGTGAACTGAGTCAGTCCAGACAGGCTCCAAATGAAAGCAAGAGAACCCCAGGACCCAGCACCTCAATAAAGGATCTAACAACCCAAGTCTGCTCCACAGAAGTAAGGAGAGACTGTGAAAGCTATTCCTCATAAGTGGACAGTTGACTCAAATCAGCTAATATTGGGATCTTGCTCTTGGGTGCTAGTATTGGGATCCCCTTGCAAGGGGAAAGGATTATTTCTAATTGCAAAAACTAACAACTGTAGGGCCGGCCCGGTGGCGCACTGGAGAGTGCGCCGCTTGGGAGTGCGGCGGCGCTCCCACCAAGGGTTCGGATCCCATGTGGAGACCGGTTCCCGCTCACCGGCTGAGCGCGGTGCGGGCGCAACACCGAGGGTTGCAATCCCGTTGCCGGTCCCCAGTGCGGGCGCGACACCGAGGGTTGCGATCCTGTTACTGGTCAGTAAAAAAGACAAAAAGGAATAAAAAAAAAAAAAAAAACTAACAACTATAAACTTTTAAATAATCCCTTGCTTTTACCTTTTTCAAATCTTTTCATAAATATTCATACTTTTCTACTCTAACTGAATTATGGGTGGGGGGAAAATGTCATTATCTGAAAAAGGAAAATCTAACACTACACTTTCAGAGAACAAAGAGAAGAGGAATGGGTAAAGAGGATCTTCTATCTACCAAGAAGACATGGAACAGGGGCTGACTTTTATGTTCTCATCAGCCCCACATGGAGCCCATAGCGAGGTGGTGATGAGTGGGAAGGAGCCAATGCCCCGGCCACCGGAACACCAACCCCTGCCCTAGGCACGCATGCTCTCCTCTCCTGACCTCACCTTTGCTAGGTAGGAGATTTGCTTTTCCTCAACCCTCTCAGCTAATTTATCTGTGGTGGGATGTAATTTCATGCATTACCTTCCTTCACTCACTGCTGCTGCTGCTGCCACTCTGCTACTTGCCTTCCCATATCACATAAACTCTCCATTCAGGAGATGTGACTTTAGTAAGATGAGTAAAGACATGGAGACTTGACTTGCATAGTAACACAACTTAAATAGGTCAACATCAGCCATCCCCTCTCCCCCAAAAAGGTTCGTTTGTATCAGAAATACTTAGCTCTAAAGGATATAAGGAATTTAAGGCTTCTTCCTAATGAGCTGTCAAGAAGCTAATGCTGCCTTTCTAAGATACTGCCACAATTCAGGGGAGAGAGCAAAGAAGTAGAGAAAGGGGACTGTGAGGAGAAGAGAGAAGGAAAACAGAAAGGACTCCAAGCTGGTCATCGAAGGAGGTTCTTTTAAGGACTGACAGGACTCAACTGGAAATGTAAAGAAATGATATGTGACATTCTCTAGCTATTACATGAATTCATGATCCATCTACAGTAAGACTTCATCCTAGTGTAGGTCTGTACCTAGTAGCCCTCCCACACATTAGGTGCAAAGCCAAAGAGCTATAACTCTGCCTTTTTCTTTCTCATTCCCTTAGACTGTAGAGAATTTTTTTTTTAATTTTAATTTTTTTTTTTGGCAGCTGGCCTGTATGGCTATAGAGAAATTTAGAGCTAGAGGAAACCTCAGGCATCCTCTTGTCCCATCCCCATGTTTCACATTTAAGGAACCGAAGACCAGAAGGAATACATGTGTTTCATGTTCAAAGGACAAGGACCCAGGCTTCTTCCTGACTTGTTCAGCATCTCTGTTTTTCTGGAACAAGCTTGTGTCTAATCCAAGTTAAGTGAGGAGACCTGGGTTGTAATCTTTATTTACCCTACTCATGCCTACGTTAGTGGAGAGTATGGTCACTTCTGTTCTGGGCCTCAATTTTCCCAAACATGTAATGGAAAAGTTGGATCCTAACCAAAATTATGATAGAAATCCTCCCAGCATTTTTTAAAAAAGTAGTCTATAGGGCCGGCCCGGTGGCGCACTTGGTAGAGTGCGGCGCTTGGGAGTGCGGCGGCGCTCCCACCGAGGGTTCGGATCCCATATAGAGACTGGTCCGCTCACTGGTTGAGCGCAGTGCGGGTGCGACACCGAGGGTTGCGATCCCGTTACCGGTCATGAAAAAAGACAAAAAGGAAAAAAAAACGTAGTCTATAAAGTGTTTATTTGTCATTAACTGCTCTTTAAATTAATTTACAATATTATTATCCCCTGTTTATTGCAAAAGCTTCTGAAAACAGTGATTCCCTTCCCTGGAAAAACACAAAGGCCGTGCTACAGGTTTACATGAGTTATAACTGGAAAAAGCATCACGCACCTTGTCTTCCTTTGAACTCTCCATCTCTGCTCCTTCCTTTAATTTTGCCAGTGCACTCTTGAGGTCCTGAGATGTGTAGGTGTTGGTGTTGATGTCCAGCCTGTCCGAAGAGAAGCTGAGTATCAAGAGGGAGGCACCATATTACCCAAGAAAGAAAATGCCCCTAGGTGGCTGGAACCCCAAGGTAAGCTAGGCCAGGCTGGCTTTAACTCTGAGTGTACTATCTTACCTTTGCCTTCAGTCAGCCGGGGGTCCAAAAGGGTGAACTGAACTTAAATCTAGAGGAGGAAAGACACAGCTGAAGATGGGGTCATTTCATGAAAGAGGAGTAAATGGCATGGGGCAAACAGAAGCCCATCACGGACAGAGAGCTATCAGACAGCTGCTCAGGCAGAAACAAGCCTGGAATGTCTATGCAATGCTGCTCCCTCAGCACATGCCAGGGCAGGACCTCCTGAGAGAGGTGGGCACAGACACGGAGAATAATATGCACCCTTATTTACATTCTTCTGGGAAAGGGGACAACAGGGACTCACAGCCTCCCAGCATGTGCCTGACCTGATTTGAAAAGCCAGCCTATTTTCACAAAAACAGGTTTTGCACAGATTCACACTGTAAGACCAGCCTTTGAGCACAAAGAGGTGGGAAATCTGTTTCAACCTGACCAAGATATGGGTTTGAGATACTGAAGAGTAGAATCAATGCCAGTCACCTTCCACAGCCAGTCTCCAAGAAGAGGGAGGAAAGGAACCGACATTGCTATAATCTCAGGAACCTGACAAAAGCTAGGGTGGTATCCTCACAAAGACCCCTGGAGCTGATCCAAGCCACAGCGTGACTGGAGAGAAGGCATCCTTCAGGGGGCAAGGTTTTACCACCAGCACTCATTTAAGTTCAGTGAACAGAGGTATGAACAAGGGTGATGTGAACACAGGGACGTGCAGAGTATGGACTGCACTTGGCAAGACGGTCCGGTTGTGGTTGGGTTAAGGATAACCCAGGAGATTTCCGGGGGACAAGCATGGGGTTGTTACTGGCCTGCTCTACTCCAGGCAGAATAAGTACGTCAGTCTCATCGTCTGAGATCCCAGCAGGCCTCAGCTCACATGAGAGGGAAATGTACAGGGGGCTCTGCTCATGCAGTCTTTGATTCATCCTATAGACCCTTCAGGGTGCTGAGAAAAACACTTGTCCTCTCTAAACCTCAGTCCTCCTAAACTAATTAATAATAGCTAATCACTTCCATTTATTGAGCTTTTAACCATGTGTCAGGCTTAAAGGCAGTATTTCATTCAACTCATTACCACAATTCTACAAAATAGGAGAGAAAATCCCAAATCCCTCTTCCCTCAGAGCATCATCCACTGACAACTGCATGAGGATGCCACTGCCGTGCCCCCCACGCCTACTAGGGAGCTAAATATTTAGGAGCCATAGTTTAAACAGATTACTCCTCCCTCCTCCACGACTTGGTCAGGACTAATCCCATCATGCCTCATATCTCTGTATACTGCCTTAAGTCCCACTGTCCCAGGCCATCTTTCACCACCCACTCTCAGTCCCAACTACGTACACACAAGAACACACATGTGCACACAGAACCACTATCAGCTGGTGTTTTCACTTCATTCTTCATTGAGAAAAATAGATGTTATCATCAAGAACTTCCTCACCTTCCCATCATCCGCTCTATAAACCAACCTGCACCTAAATCTACATTCTCTACTTTCCTTTCTATTGTAATGGATGATAGTGTCCCAGCTTCTATTAAACTTATGTTCCATATCCTATTTGCCTTAATGAAAGCTTTAACTCCCATAATTATACCCCTCCCTCTGCCTGCATCATCAATTTCTCCCTTCAGTTGGATTATTCCCATCAGCATACCAACACTCCTTTGACCCCACAGTCTCTTCGAGAAGTTACCATGCCATTTCCCTGCTCCAACACAGAGTAAAACTTTATAAATACATTGTTTTCACTCACTATCCCCACCTTCTTGACCCCTGTTTACACTGCCATTTGCTCTAGTCTGTATTCTGTCCCTACAACTCCACTAACATTGTTCATCAAAATTACCAGTAATTGATGAGCAAATCCAATGGACCCTTCACTTATTTCGTGTTCCTCAAACACTCAGCAACACTTACACAGCATACCCTCCCTTCTTGAAACACTCTCCTTTCGTGACTTCTTGTTACCACTCTCTCCTGGTTCTTTCCCTTCCTCATTCCTTCTCCAACTCTTGCTGGAGCACTGTCTTCTACCTGAACTCTACATCCTGGAATGCCTCAGAATTCAGTCCTGAACAATCTTCTTTTCTCCATCTCCACACCCTCCTCTGGTTATTTTAAAGTACTTATCTGCCAGTGATGCCCAAATTTACATCTCTGGCCCAAACCTCTCCCCTGAGCACCAACCACTCATGTACAACTACTTGATATATCTTGGATCTCAAATGTTTAACAAGTACCTCAAACTTACTGAATCCAAAACATAGGTCTTGATTTTTCTCCCTATAAATCTGTCTCTCTCCCAACTTTTCCATTGCAATAAATAGCACCTCCAAGCACACAGTTACTCAAATCCCAAAATGAGGCTTTATCCTGAATTCCCCCCCTGCCCCACCTTCCTTCATCCCCTACATCTATATTGTAAGCAAGCCCTGTTGGCTCTATCTAAAACTGAAATCTCGGGGCCGGCCCGGTGGCACACTGCTTCAGTGTGCCGCTTGGGAGCGCGGTGGTGCTCCCGCCGAGAGTTCGGATCCCACATACAGACCGGTCCCCGCTCATTGGTTGAGCGAGGTGTGGGAGCAACACCAAGGGTTGCGATCCCGTTGCCGGTCCCGGTCCGGTACGGGCGCGACACTGAGGGTTGCGATCCATTGCCGGACACGAAAAAAAAAAAAAAAAGATAAAACTGAAATCTCCAAATTCATCCACTCTCCATTATGATACCCTAGACTAAGCCACCATTATGTCTTTCCTGATCTACTGAAATAACATCCCAATTGTCTCTGTTTCTTCTTTTGCCCACCTTCAATCTCTTCTCCAGATACATAGCAACTAAAGTTATCTTGCTAAACTATACTGCATTAAATCACTCTTCTGCCTAAAATCCTCCAATCGTTTTCCATTAAAACTAAAGGTGAATAAAGAACACTCAGCTTGTTCCTCAAAACCCCACGCAATCTGGCCCCTCTCCAATTTACGGCATACCTCTTCAATCTCATCTATCAATCTCCTTCCTTCTCCCCTTCTCTAGTCATCCAGATTATTTTCCTGTTTCTCAAACTTGACAAAGCCTTTTCCTTGACAAAGCCAGGGACTCTTCTTGTTGTTCCATCTGCCTGAGATGCTCTAACCCCTAAACTTATAAACCTAAACTTTGGCACGGCTAAAACCTTCTCATTTTTTAGGTCTCAATTAAAATACTTTGACAAGGCCTTCCCAAATCATCCTATCTAACGTGGCCTCCCCCAGGGATGCATCACATTTCTTCCCTACCACTTATTACAATCTATAATTATCTTACTTGTGTGTTTATTTACCTGGTTGTCTGCCTGCCAACCTCCATAAGGCTGGAATCCTGTTTTGTTTACTACTGTACTCCCAATGCCTTGCACACAGGCACTCAATAGGTCTTTTGTGAAATGAGTGAATGGAACAAGTACATGGCCCTATCCTTGGCCCACTCCCTTAACCAATATACCATACTGTACGTTGGCAAATGCTCAACCCAGGATGGTACAACTGGAATATAGTTTGTCCCTTAGTCTTCCAAACATAGGAGAAAGATTTAAAGAAGCTAGTCATTCCAGGACGACAGAGAGATGTACTGTGGAGATGTTGACAGGGATAGGGACTAAAACCAATGGAGATGGCAATGCCTAAAGCATAAGTAGCAAATGGAAAACCTGTTGCTAGGAACCAAATATGCACTGAGGTCAGGCAGTGACAAGAGAACCCTCTGAGACAAGCCAGAGTCAGGGTCTCTGTCCCAGGCCTCAGAGCCCACAGGCATTGTAGTACTAGGTAGCAGTGTAGGCAGCAACACATTCAGTAGGACTAGTAGAGAGGCTGCCATGATTTAGGCTTAATGGATTATCTCCATTTCCCTCTAGGCCAACAGTTCTTAACTCTGTGGGATCACCAACCTATTTGATGATCTGATGGAAAGTTGTGGATACTGTCCTCCAAAACAGAATAAGCAGGTAAGCAAAGTTATTATCTCCATTTCCCTCTAGGCCAACAGTTCTTAACTCTGTGGGATCACCAACCTATTTGACGATCTGATGGAAAGTTGTGGATACTGTCCTCCAAAACAGAATAAGCAGGTAAGCAAAGTTCTATAACAATTTCAGGGGAGTAGTCCAGCCCTTAGGCCTCTGTTCCCATTCCAGTGCTAAAGAGCCAGGAAGATACAGTGAAGTGGAACTGGAGGAGCACAAGTTGAGGTCCATCCCAGAAGGAGGAAGTCACAACCAATGGCAGCCAAAGGCTCACTGAGCTCACAAGACCGAATGTCTATACCACCTTGTCAATGACTTGGCCTTCTGTTCAGATAGGTTTGCCACTGGTTATAAATGCTGAGAAGGAAAAGGAAATGTCTAGCATACACTGGAGGCCACTCTAGGGCAGAGCCCTTAGAAATACTCCAAAGGAGAAAAGTAAAGAAGCAAGAGTGGGGACAATTATTTCTCCCTTAAGGTGTGTCTCTGGAGACCAAATGGATGGCTCTGCTTTCTATTCTAAAAAGATATGAGCAACAAAGCAATAAGTGCTCCTACTGATGATCTAAATTATCAGGTAGTGAAGAAGTAAATTCCTGTGGTATATTAAAAAAAAAAAACCAATATATAAAAAAACTCCAAAATTAATCAAGTTCCTAACTCAATATTCTTAAACCAAGAATAAAATAGGCTTTTTCTTTAGAAAATAAGACTTGGATTAGATTAGATGTGAGAAGAGACTTCCTGAAGGTTCTTTGAGACACTGCAATATGTGTTTGTGTATGTGTGTGCTAGGGATGGAGGAAGGTTGGCAAGAACAATGACAATGACTGATTTTTTTCTTAGATGGCTGTGAGAAAGGAGTTACTGTATGACCTGGACCACTCCAGGTATAGGCCATCTCCCTATCTGGAGAGATGGGGTAAGTTGAAAGATTCTTCTTCCCAGTTTGAGCTGACTGTAAGGAAGACAAATGCTTCTATCTTAGTATAAAGTAGAATTTTCCAATGGTGACAATTGCCCAAATCTGAACGGGCTGCTTGGTGGCGTTGTGAGTGCCACCTGACTAACAGTACACATGGACTGGCTGAATGACCTTTTATCAGGTATGTCAAGGAAAAGATTCAAGTAAGAATTGGGTCTCTAAGGTCTCTATCTGACTCATACCTAACTGCAAAATATTATTAAAGTATTAAAATTCAAGGGGGCTGGCCTGTGGCTCACTCGGGAGAGTGTGGTGCTGATAACACCAAGGCCACGGGTTCAGGTCCCACATAGGGATGGCCGGTTTGCTCACTGGGTGAGTGTGGTGCTGACAACACCAAGTCAAGGGTTAAGATCCTCTTACCAGTCATCTTTAAAAAAAAAAATTAAAATTAAAATTCAAGGACTGAGTAACACTAATCCCACCCAATCCATGATTAATTCCCAATACTTACTCGTACATGTTTAGAACAGGGGTCAGAAAACTATCTGTAATGACCAGATAATATTTTAGGCTCTGTCAGACACCTTATGGTGTCTGACCCAACTAAATAATTCTGCCACTGTAGCAAGAAAGCAGCCATAGACAATATGGAAACAAATACGCATGGCTGTGTTCCAATAAAACTTTATTTATGGACATTGAAATCTGAATTTCACATAATTTTCATGAGTCATAAAATATTCTTCTTTTGACTTTTTTCCAACCATTAAAAAATCTAAAACCTATTCAGCTTGCAGGCCATACCAACAGGCAGCAGTCCCAATATGGCCCACAGGCCATAATTTGTTGGTCCTTGTGTTAGAAACTTCATAGCTAGTATTTATACTAAGCTTTCAAACTGTACAATTCCAGCAACCCTTGCAACTCCATGCCTCAACCTCCTTCCACCTCATTCAGGCAATACCAAAGAAAACTTACTAATGATTAGAAGAATAGACTAATTCTTTAAAATCAAATAATCTAAATTGGTTATTAAAAAATAAAGCAACCTCTAACCACTGAAGAACTGCAGTAACTTCTACATTTATCCTATAAGAAAGCCTGCTTTAATAGTAACAAGAGGAAAAGTTAGTCTGAATTAAAGACTTTAAAATGCAATTTTATTGTTCACCAAGGAAGTATTACTGCAAAGCAGAAGGCTTAACAGGCCTGTTTTAATGAATAGATGACTCATCTGTAATCAGCACATTAATTGTTGGGATTCAAATGGGTGCTCTTAAAGTACTGGGAAAAATAGCTTCATTTTTAAAGCAGGTTAAGCATTCCCCCTACAGCCTTTTTAAAAGTATCAATTTGCTTTGCAAACTGTTTCTTTCCAAAGACTGTAGACATAAATGTCCATAAAACCCTGACAGATTTATCACAAATTCTATGCTATTAAATTTCAAATTAAAAAATTTTTTAAAAGCCACATGAATGTGGGTAACACTTTCAGTATTACAAAACCAATGTCATCACTTAGCCTCCCAATCCCTAAAGTAGACACTGTACCTTCTGCCTTTTTTCAACCCTTTCAAATTATTTTGGAATTTGTCTTTGTATTGAAGTTTCGCCTCTCTTGCCCCAGTCTGAAGATTCAGCCGCACATGGGATCCTGCAGGGACAGCCTGACCTAAAAGCCAAGAAGAGAAAAAAGGCTCATGAGGTATAAGGTCCCCAAAGGGATGCTAGGATGGAATGTCTGGCTAACAAGCCAACGGGATTTATTAGTTCAGGAAGACCAGACTCTGCAGTGTTCAGTTACCTCCTCGACCCATCCATCTATATCCCTGTGACACACACACCACTCACCTATCCTCCTTTTGCTAATCTATAAGAGAATCTGTAAGGGAATGAAGTAAGTGGATAAGAGGATATGCACTTGAATCCAGAGACCAATGTCCTCTGTTAGAACCTGAATATTTAAGCTATTCTACATTTTCTTTTTATCAAGCTAATAAGCCTTGTTATACACAGTAGGTGAATGGCAGATATTTACTGACTCTTCAGGACATGGGTACATTATTGTGCCCCTCCCTGACAGTCCCACAGAACCCCAGATAGCCTGCCTTCCCAGCAAGCTCACACCTTACCACCCACATCTCTGAGCGCAGGGATCGTGTCTCCTCCTTTTGGATTTCCCCAGCCCTTAAAACCAGAGCTCGGCACATAAAATTTGTAGCACTTAACATTTATGAGAAGGAAGAAAGAAGAGAATGGAAGGCAGGAGAACACAGTAAGCCAACAATGCAGGAAATGGAACCAAGAGAAACTGAAAACCTATGCCCACCCATCTCAGAGAAGCTGATCTTCCAGCTGAGTAAACCAGTGTTGGGAATGGATGGGCTATTCATATGCAAAGCACAAAATTACCCAAAGATCATTAAAAAGCAACTGTACAAGATCACATACTACAAATGGAATGTTACATCCATCCATTCATTCATGGAACTGATATTTACTGAGCAACTATTATACACCAGGCCACTGTGGTAGACTAGGAATACAAAGATGAATGAACGTTAAAGGCTGCAGGGATATAGAATTTCAGGGAAAGAAATTCAGGAGACTGGAAATTTGAAGCAAAATCTTTTTTGCTAGGGCTTCTGACACCTAGACTTTGATTCTGCTTTCTCCTGCTAGAGGATGGCATCACCTTGCTAGCGCTGTTTCATTTAAGAACCCAAAATAATGACAATCTGAAAAAAAATTCCTTCCAGGGAGGCATATAGCACAAGTTCTCTGAGAATGATCAGGTAAACCCTGAATATAAAAGGGTAACTAACGATGTAGAAAGAATTCAACAGTTCTCTCAGTTCTAGCAGAACCATAGTGAATTCTGAGACCTACCATCCATTCTGCCTCCAACCCAGGAACCCGGGAAACACCATGCCAAGACATGCTGTTTCTGTTCCTGCCACCCCACTTCAGTAGGGAGTTTCTGTATCTTTGGGAATCTATAGTATATAATTGTATGTGCATAATGATCTCTTTCTAATCCCAACCAAAATGCTTCAAGGATAAGAAATATGTTTACAGTAGAGTGGAGAAACCCTTCTCTGAGGTGGTTTCCTGATAAAGTTAAGTTGGGTCAAATGAGGCAAAAAAAAAAAAAAAAAATGAGACCCAGACTTGGAAAAAAGCAAATCGCAAAGGGAGGGAGCCCCACATGCAAAGGCTCCAACACAGAAACTGATAGGCCACAGAAGTCAAGGAGTAGACCAGGGCAGAAGAACTGGAAGGGGCTCTGGGCTTGGTGTACCATCCGGAAGTCTGGGTTTATTTTCCTGGGATAGGAAAATGAAACTAATGGCTGAGGAAAGTGATTCAAGGAGATGAGGTCAAATACCGGCAAGTATAACAAAGATTGGCAACTTCTTTCCTAGTTGTATGATCATGGGGGTAAGAGGTAACTTCTTTAGTATTAATCTCATCTTCTAATGTGTGAAGGGGAAAGGTTACCTCACCTAGAGGGATCCCAAACTGGTGAAACAACATAGTCCCTTCCTGATTGAATGCTAAACAGATCATCCTTGATATTCTCTCTATTTACCACCCCCCATACCCAATCTACCTCCAAAACCCATTGATTTTTTCTGCTATACATCTTCTGAATTCACACCCTTCTCTCCATCTTCCCACCACTACTTTTGCCTGGACCATCACCATCTCTGTCTGGACATTATCATAGCCCTTTGACTGGCCTCCTCTATCTACTCTCACCTCCCAACCCAACTACTCTTTACAGTGAATAATTTTTTTTCTTTCAAAATACAAATCTATGTCATTCCCCTACTTCAAAATTTTTAATAGCTCCCTACTGTTCTTAAGATAAAGATAAAAATCCTCACCCTGGTCAATGAGACCCTTTAGTATCTGGTCCCTGCGTGCCTCTTCAGTCTTGCCACCCCTCATTCCCTGCACCCTAGGCATACTGCCCTTTTTCCATTCCATGAAAGAACCACGTTCCCTCCTATCAGAGGCCCATTTCACCTGTTGTTTCTTTTGCCCGGAATGCTCTTCCCAACCCCAGCCTCTATCTCCTCATCATTCCAATCTCAGCTAAGGGTCACTTCCTCTGAGAGGCATCCTCTCTTTCTTCAGACCAGATCTGTCTGGCCCTCAAAGGCTTTCACAGCACCACGAACCCTTTCTTTATAGCCCTTACCACAATTGGTAGTTACATTTTAGTTTTTTAGGGTTTTTTTTTTTAATTTATCTGCTTAATATAAATGCTCACCATTTTATCCCAGGGCCTAGCACATACCCTAGCATATACTCAATTCTCAGTAATTACTTGTGGAGTGAAAATTTTTAAAGGAAATCCTAGCTAATCTAGAGGTGTGTAGAGAGGCCAACAATGATTTTCACTGGAGCAAGTAGATTCATAATAATTAGTCATGTTAACAGTTATTTTTAATAGTAATACTACAAATACTAGTAATAATGATAATAGTGTCTTAAACCTTCAAATTTTTGATCAAAGTTAGAAATGGAAAAAAAAAAAAGTACACAAGTTTATAAGCTTCAGGCATAACAGGAAACCATGCTAATGTGGCCAAGGAAGAGACTAGGTTTTTATGTGAATCACTTTGTTTTATTTGGAGAAAATTCCACAATTACTCCCTTCACATAAGCCACCACAGGGGGCAAGAGCAACTACAACAGAATTAACTCAAAATACAAGTTATGCTCATTTAAAACATATAAAACCAAGGGCCGGCCCGTGGCTCACTTGGGGAGAGAGTGGTGCTGATAACACCAAGGCCATGGGTTCGCATCCCTATATAGGGATGGCCAGTTAGCCCACTTGGGAGAGCATGGTGCTGACAACATCAAGTCAAGTGTTAAGATCCCCTTAAAGTTATCTTTTAAAATAAATAAAATAAAATATATAAAACCAGTCATGTCAGTGGCACAAGTAACAGAAAATTCAGTATTTCAAATGTTTTTACCCCACTGGGGAAAAGGCCAAGTTAGAGAGAAAGTGTGATCTAACATGCTTCTAGGGCCTTTGTGAAGGAAGAAAAAGTACCAGAACTCTGGGGAAGAGCAAAACAGAGGAAAAGAAAAGTCATGAGATACGTATAGGTAGAGTTAGAGATTGGGAGGTGAGGGGCAAGAGAATAGGCAGAAAATAAGATAGGGATCCAGAAAGCAAACAGGCCTGCAAATCCTAAAATGTCTTTATCCTCACCACTGACTCCTTGGGTGCAAAACCCAGGGTGGAAACCTGTCCATATTAAGTAAGGCCACATCATACTTGAGTTTTGACTCTCACTGGGACTGCCACTGATTCAAGCACAGGCCAGGAACCAGATAACAACTCCTGCTTTTCCCGGGGGCAGGGGGAGGGGGGGCTGTGGTCAATTGCAACACTATCACCAATTTTTTTCCTGCCTGTCACACCCTTTGCCATGTGAATTTGTAGTTCCTTCTACCAGTGGTAGAGTGTACTTTACTGCCCCTTGACTTTCAACTTGGCTTGTGCCACAAACAAATGTCTGAAATGTGTTTTCATGGTTGACTTGTCTCTTGGGATTCTGCCTTCACTATGAGAAGAATGTGCCACTCCTAGGCTTCTGGTCCCAGAAGGATGAGAGACCCATGGGGCAGACCTCGACCCAAACTGCAGATTGGAGCTAAGCCTTGCTGAGCCCAGCCATGATCAGCCACGTCTAGCTCATTTGCAGACATGTGAGCAAGAATAAGTAACTGGATTTCTTTTTAAGTTTTTACCTTGAACTACCTTTAAACTTACATAAAATTTGCAAAAATAACGCAGTGAGTTTCAATATATCCCTCACACAGCCTTTCCCAATGTTAATATCTTACATAACCACAATACAATTATCAGAACTGGGAAATCAACAATACCATTAACCAAACTAGAGATCCTTTACAAACTTTACCAGTGCTTCCACTATTGTCCCTTTTCGTTCCAGGATCCCCATCCTTTTCTCCCTAGTCTCCTGCAGTCTGCAACAGGTCCTCAGTCTTTCCTTGTCTTTTATCACCCCGACACCCCTGAGGAATAGTGATAAGTTATTCAGGATTGTCTGGTGTTTTCTCATGGTTAAACTGAGGTCATACATCCCTGGCAGAAGCACCACACAAATGATCCCATGTCCTTCTCAGTGTATCATATCACAGGGTTCGTGGTGTCGATGTCTTATTACTGGTGATACTGGCCTTGATTAACGAATAAAGATAATCTCTACTGAGCTTCTCCACTGTAGTAAACAAAAATCATTGGAAGTTGCCCGAGTGTGGAAAACAGTCTGGCAGTTTCTCAAAAAGTTCAACAGTTTAACTTTTCCAGCAATTCCACACCTACATGTATACCTGAGAGAACTAAAAATGTATGTTCACAGAAAAACTTGTACATGAATTATTCATAGCAGCATTATTTATAATAACCAAAGTGTAAAGACAACACAAATATGCACAGATTGATAAACAAGATGGGGTATATCCATCCATATAAGGGAATACTATCCAGCCATTAAAAGGAACAAGAAATACTGATACATTCCACACATGGATAAACCTTGAAAACATTATGCTAAGTGAAAAACAGACACAAAAAAGCCACAAATCATATGACTCCTTTTATATGAGATGCCCAGAATA